TATAGATCAGGGGTCGGGAACCCAAGTGTCTTTATCATGTGGCTCTTTGGAAAATGATCCTAATGATCTAGACCTTTAAAATATAAATTAAAATTCCATTATAATAATTTCTATATTACGGTATAATTTATGAGGTATATTTTATTTTAACTACCTAATGATAATATTATGGGTTTAACGATGTTTATTTTTGGTAAAAACAAAATAATATTTTATCTATAATGAAACCACAGTTTATCAACCTTATCACACTAACCGTGGCTCTTTGAAAATCTTGATTTTGCAATTTTTTTTTTAAATGCCTCTAAGTATAGATAACAATAATTTTAATTTGTGTATCATATAATATTGTTGTATAGTATACATACTTATATTACACCTAAATTATTACAGTAGGTATATAGTTATTTTACGAATTAAAATTATTATTTTATTGTTGTGACTTACGTGTAAGTATCTATATATAGTATATACCTACTGTATATAGTATCATACAATACTGCAGTAGAGTGTAGACTGTAGTATACCTGTATGTATATTCACACAAAATATTATTAAAGTAATAAAATGGCAATGTAACGCTTGAACTACGCCGTCGATAAAATTTTAAAATAACTGAAGGTTATTGTTACCAATATGAAATAAGGATATAAAGAAAAAACTAAAATTGTGAAATTCGATTTATATTTGATTCAAAAATCTCCTTGGATCTGCAACTGGACCTGAAACGTAATTTAATAATCGCTTACATCACCAACAATCGTATCCTTCAAAATGACTTACCTAGTGTTTGCACATCTGTTCCACTTAAATTATAATCGCCGATCGTACTCGTACCTATAACACAATTTAAGTTCATTGTGGTCATATGTAAAAAGGGAAAACGTTGTTAAGAAGTTGACATCGTCAAATACAGAGTATATCTTTTAATTTGTAGCAGTGATGCATTAATACGTTTCACTCTTAACTCCAATACGGCAACACCATCATAGGCATGCTCAGATTCCAGCTTCAGGGGCAAGCAGAAGATTAATCTGACCAATTTTCTAACGTAATATTTAAAAAATAGATATTTTAATGAATGTTTTCAAAACAAATTCAGTACACAAATGTACGATAATTATTGACGTAGAAAAAAAATGCAAAATTTATATCTTTTTATTTTATCGTTTGGTGGAAAAAAGGTTTCTGTGCCAATTATTTGGAAGGATAGGAGTCCAAAATGTTGACGAGGAGGTTGTATAGAAACGTATCTAAAAAATACATACAAATTGTTTTTAATTATAAATTATAATGTAATGTATATAATAATGTACTTAAATATAATTTTATGGAAGTTGAATTTACTGCAGCCCATAATTCAATATTTGACGGCCGCGGAAAAAGTTCAAAGGCTGAATATGCTGCCCTCGTGTGCACGCCTATGAACACCATCCTATAATCCCTAATAATAGTCTCTCATTTATCATCATCATACTCTTCCTGACAACTCAATCACATCACCTTAAAAGAAGCTAAATGGTGCCATGACCTCCTAAATTAGTGATTAAATAATCAAATTCTGTTCTGAACGGTTTCATCACAAGATTATTCCTTTATCATGTGTTTTTGCGTTATGATGTTATTTACTATTTTTTCCATACAAAAGACATCCTATATTTACTATTATTGTGATTAGTGTTAAAAGTATAGATTATAAGTTTTTAATCCAATAAAATAAATAAAAACAGTGATGACAACCGTTATCTCAAAAAGTATTGACGTTTAGGAAAATATTTTTTATATATAGTTAAAATTCTTTACAAAACAAATTATTCTAATTGAAAATAAATTATATTTTTCAGTTTTCTCTATAATTTTTAAGTTTTTACTTTACCGAATGTCATTATGACAGCACACATTTTAGACACTGAGCGATGAATGTATTTTAAATTTTATACCCAGAAAAAGAATACTATTTATTTTAGTATTTTTATACACAAAATACAATTTTGAATAAATATATTTATTTAGTTAAAAAAATATTTTCAAACATATTATTAGTATACTTAATATAGTTAATACTTTTTGAGATTATGAGTGTTTCATTGAATAATATTTTTATTTAGTAATCAAATACCTACTTTAAACAAATTGAAAAAAGTTTTTCAACTTATTAATATTTACCTTATATATTATCAGACGTGTTTTCGGCATTGTTGTATATGCGTCATTTTGCAGGACATATTTAACCTATTTCGATTGATATCAATACAATTTTTATTTTTGGTATAAAAAGCTTGGAAATGTAATACTTGGTTTAATTTTTAAATTTTTCTTATATTCGATAAAAAATATATCGACTTTTTAAAAATTAAAAATTGTATTATTATCGATCGCCTAAGTTAATACCGGATTTATAGCGTAAATATTATATTTATAATGAGTATAATAATTGTATATACATATTTGTGGATATATATAATGTATAATGTATTAATGTACACTATATACTAGGGTCGCTAACCTTTTCCAATAGTGAGCGAGTAAGCCACATTCAAATTTTTAAGTATCTAGCGATCTACCATTATTTGTTTAGGTGTACTATTTTTATTATTATACGTAGCAGAATAATAAATTGTTTAATAGTTTACTTTTTTCATTATTTTTCCGTCGGCAAATTGTATGTTTTTCTTTTCTAAAAAATACTTTACTTTGTATATAAAGCTTAAAAGTGTGTTTAATTCTTTAACATTAAATTTAAAATAATACGCACGTGATCAGCAGATATTAGTATAATTAATTTTTAGAAAGATCGACCAATATTTCTCTAAAGACCGAATGATTGGTGACCCCTTCTATATGCTATATACCTACTATATAATTTAGCGTAGATACATATTACATTTATATGGTTTTTTATTAAGTGCTATATAATTATATAAAGATATATACGACATATACTTTTCACTTGCCATTATAGCAATTCATTTTTCAAATTAATGTTGAATGGAAGTCATACAAATACGAAACTGTTGCTTGTTGTCTGACATTTGTATTGTAATATTATTTGTTTAGAAATATTTTGACATCCATTCAAAAACAACAATGTAATTATCATTTATCACGAAACCCAACTGAATAATAAACTCGTCATACGCAAAATGTAACTTAAATACCTACTTAATATGTATATTATGTAGTTTACTACATCGTCAGTATTTTATTTGTATTTTTTAATAAGTATATTTCAATATCATACATATATACATCGATACATATATTGTCTGCAAATAATACATATATTTGGTATTTATTATATACCACTCATATTTTATGTACTGCCAATACAGATTATATTATATTATATGCGCATTGTATTGGACTATATTACGTAAAAGTATACGTTTCCTTAATAAATACATAATATGTTTTTCTTGAGTAAAAAATTACATTTAAAAATGTATAGGTACCTTATATTTATATAATTTCTACACAAGTACACAACGCGTGTACCTAATACCTCAATGAGTTCTATGCTTCTATAGCAGAATATTATATATTTATATTATAAATTATATAAATATATCTCACTATTTGCGTCATATTATGTGCTTATACAGTACCTCTTACAGTTAGGTATACTTATGAATTATGTTAAAGTACACGTCAGTCAATCGTCACTTTCAATGCCATGTGAATTGAAATTTCATCTATTTTATTCAGTTATTATTAATGTCAGAGTGAATTGACCAATCATCAAGTTTTAAGGTAAGAATATTATATCTATAGCTATGGCATCTCGTAGGTTCTTTTGACATTTTAATTTTGAGTCGAGTAATGAACATTTTTAAATTATAAATCACATCGGTGAAATATCTATAGTGGTTGTTATAAGACGGTCAAAAGTCTAAAAAGTGGGAGGGAACATTCTCACTTCTCGGTATTACATTATGTGTATAAAACAATAGAATTAATTTGAAATTGTTTTATAATTAATCGTGTTTAGGGTATTTTAGGTTATAGATGTAGCAGGTTTGAATCTACCTTCGACCGTGACAATATTCACTTTATTTCCCTTGGTAATCACCTTGTACTAATGGAACGGCCAATATCAGACATCAGTAATATTAATCAGAATATTAAGTCGTAACATCATTATAAAAAATTATTTATTCTCAGATTAATATGATATAATACTATAGGTACTAATATATTACATCCAAACAATATTGAATCGTATATTTGTATTATTATTCATTATGTACTATATTCCTTTAACGTAAGTTGGCGTAGGTACTTATAGAACATAGACTACTGTATATATTATGTATTTATTTATACTTATACAGGTATCACTGCAGCAGTATCAGTTTCAAGTTTATTTATTTATTTTAATCTTTTAATTGTTGACGTTCGATCTCTATTAAATTAATACGTTTTAAATAACGGTTCGGCTTTATAGATAGATAAATATAGGTCAATCGAAAGTATTCGTCTAATTTGTAGTTGCAGACATAAACATTTTTTACCGATAAATAATGCTTTGTACTATAGATAAATCGATTTTAATTGACGTAATTGATCATTTCCGGTTAATGTAAATATTACTAAACAGAATAAAAAAAATATTTTCCACTACCTAAATAAATATAATAGGCTTTTAAATATTATGTAGGTAATATCAACATTTTTGCATAACACAGTACTCTGTACTTCCATTTGTCTACTTAGAATATAGGTCCTATATTGATATGTACCTTATACCTACATCAAAGATAAAAAAAAACAAATAGTTTTTCTTTCCTTGTTTCAATAAACACACATTATATTATTAAAGGTACTATCCACTATGCCAAGAATTGTGTTTTTTTATTATGATCATTAAATGCTTATTATAATATCGTTGAAACAATAATAAACACTTTATCCGTAGTTGATCGATGATAAATCGAACGGTCCGTCATATTATATTCCTTAAACCTAATATTATTTACTATACAAACTTTGAAATAAAAAAATATAATCAATTGAAATTTATATTGACTTATTCACGATACCGGAACGTTCAATTCAATTAATAACATAGATATATCATCCTGGGCGAGGTTACAAACTGCAGTCGTATTGTGAGGTATGACTATTGCAAAAAATGATAAAAAAAAATAGAATTACCTATGATTGAATTTTGCTTATGTTTTTCAGTATCAACTATCAATTATACAAATAAATAATAAAGATAATTAAATGTATTATACAACCTTACAACTATTTATTATGAGTACCTAGGCATAACTGGTACAAGGTAATAATACTATATCGATCGCACAAGTCGAAATGACTACATGGCATTGTAACAATGTTAATAATATACAATTTGTTAAATACATAAAATATATGAGTGCACTACAAAATTAGTCAAACCAAAATATTAAATTAAATGCATGCATTTATAAGCAAATTAAGCTTTGATAAAAATATTATGTACAATGATGTAATATGGTATTGTTAAATAACTTAATTATATTATGTAATGCGTTTTTGATCAACCATTTGTATAGTTAAACCGTATTATTGTCGTTTTTCTTGAACCTGTGAACAGATGTAATATCCAAGTATGTTAGAATATTGAATAAAAACATTCTTGGTAAAAGCTATTTATGGATTATGGCTTATGGGGCATATTTTAATAATAAGACTAATTTTTCGGCGTATATTATGTGTTGCAAAGGTGGGCGTTAATTAGTTAAAAAGCTATTTTTTTTCTTAACTTTTAAACTTAGCTCGTTAATTTTTAATTAACTATAAATAACTTAACCAGATTTATTGTCAGTTCTAATAACTTATGTTTTTTTCTGATAGCTTGAAAAATAATAGTTACATTAAGCTAAAATCATGTTTATACTAATCTAAAATTGTAGTGAAAACAAGGAAACTTAAATTATGTTTGTTCATTCAATCATGCAGCATAGTGAAGACAATAATCTTAAATCAAAGTAAAACAGTTAATATTTTTGATTTAATAATTTAGTAGGTATGCCTAGATACATGCACATAATTTGCTTAAACCATTAGTGCGTGTATAGTAAGAAGCAAATGTAGCTATAAGCTTAATTATTAACAAAATGCTTTAAGTTTTGAAAATAATTTAAAGTTCAAAGTTGCACACACAATAGTGTTTCCTAGGATGAGTAAAATAAATAAACTAATGAGTTAAGTAAGTTAATATTGTTTTCCGTGTAGGTATATTAACTTAACACTCTTAGATTTAAATATAATTTTGGTAATTTTGAACTTAAAAGTTATAAAGTCCTGAACGTTAATTGAATTAACCTTAGCCATTTTTTTCATTAACTTGCCCACCTTCGATGTGATGTATATTATGAACGTGATAAATATAATGTTCATATATGAAAAACAAAATGAACAGAAAAATCATAGTATTTAAATGTAATACAATAATATTTTTTTAAATCCAATATATTATATTATACACACACACTCACACACACGCACATAAACATACGAACTCGCGCACACACACACATAAACAATAATAAGATTAATACTAAACGACTATAGCAATATAGTAGGTAATAAAAATAAAATATTACACACGTCCATACAAAATAATAATCACATTATCTTATACAATTTTATCTTAAGATCCATTGTTGTACAGTCTTGGATCGAACGATATATTTTTTATCGAATATCCGTCATCAAAAAAAAAACAAAATAATAGTTACAATAATAATAATAATAATAATAATAATAATAATAATAATCATATAGTATTGAGAGAGCTTATCAACTTCTTGTTTAAGGTTCGTACTGGTTTTGTACCTTTTGAGGTTGATAGCCCCAGACAAACTTGTTGAAATATTCGCCAACCATGTATAAGACGGAAGTGTATACAAATGTGCCCAGGAAGAACAGGCATCGTAATGGCAGGTTCAACTGAGAAAGGATCGGATACACCCACATATGGCACTGGCTATACACAATATGAATCCTGTAAATTGCACAAGAAAGGGCTTATTAATTTATTGGCGTAGACGAAAACCATACTCTAAACAGTCTAAACTATAATAGTAGGTAATCTATTATCTTTACTAAGTTCTTAGTTTCTTACAAATAGTTATCAAATACTAAATACCTACGTACTAGATACTTAGCTAAATTGACTTTAATTACTGCTAATTGTATATATTAAGTATAATACTGAAATTATTATGCTTGCAAATAAAATTATCCAAATTATTTTGTATTTAAACCTTATTCCAAATATCAGAGGTTTTGAAAATGTAATACAATGTTCCTCCAAGTAGTATAAAAAAAAAAAAAACTTAAAAAATTACACTATTATTAATTATACTTTTTATACTTCAAAAATATTGAAAAGATATAATATGAGCACAATTTTATTTTATAAAAGCTTTATTTCAAATTGTCCGTCTTTTTCGCTCAGAATTTTTTTTTCGTTTACCTAGGTGTACCTACAATATATACATTGATATATTGCATTTATTGAATTCAAACAGACTATGCAGCAGATGTAAAATCTCCAGTTTTTATAATTGATATCTAAAATAATGACTATCGAATGCCGTCAACAATGCAATTTAAAAAATTTTAAAAATATTTTTAATCAAAATATTTACCAATATTAGTAAAAATATATTCTATTTATGCATAGTATTCCCCCCCTCACTCCTGATTTTCGCAATGTACTACACACAGGTGGTGGTAATAAGCTCCTCCAATTGTATTTTGAATTCTCCCAATGTTAAACATTGTTAACTTTGTCCTCCCCCGTCAACATTTTGTTTATAATAATATTATAGCTCACAGCTAAAGAAATTGATTTATACCAATTACCAAAAAATATTTTTATATCATATAACTATAGTGAAAATTAAAAATACAATAATGATACAAATAATTAATTTATAACAGATTCTGAAGATTTTACATATACCCTTCAGCCTTCAGGTTGTACTGAAGTAAACCCGGTAGAGCTTACATAATATACGAATGTGCTATTAATGGAGAAATCAGAAAAGTCACCATTAGTGAATAATATAACATACGCGGTATATTGTATAATTAATCAATTTTTACAAGTTAGAAAAGGGGTCACCACAAAAAATGTTAAACCTGAAATAAGTAAAGGGAAAAAAATGAAAATATATATTATTACGTTAAACTTATATTATATTGGTGAAACCAGAGACACCCTACCTACACCTTTCACTCTTTGGGTAATAGACCTGGGAGAGTTAACTGGTCATTAAAATCGAGAGACCTTACAGTGGCTGGTACCTAATTGGTTCCCGAGCCCCAACACCATAGGCCGATTAGTTCCAGTTTTATAAAGGTGTTTTATTAAGTTAAGCCAAATTGGTTCCCGTTTAAGAAGGGTATTTTATTAAGTCCAGTCGAATTGGTTCCAGTTTAATTAAGCACATTTTCCTTCTCAATTTTACAGGCTTAGGACTATCAACTTTTAAGTAAGCTTGGTTAAAAATGTGTGGTTATGTGTGTTAAAAAATTAAAATATAATATAGAAAATTGAAAATCTTTGTGGGGCCCATTATTTTCTTGAAGAATAAAATTATACAGACTTACTATTGCAAAAGAATGCTTAAAAATGAAAATTGTAACTATTTGACCTAAACACGAGAACGAGAACCAATTCAGCTCAATTTATTAAAATACCTTTTTCAAACGAGAACGAATTCGGTTACTGCCCTTATAATCGTCCCACACATTGAATTGTAAAATATGCACCTATATTTAAAAAGGTGATTATTTGATCATTTTTAGGTATAATGTAAAATCGTTTAAAATAGTTCACAATATCAACAAGTTGCTTAAATGTTAATACAGATACGTTACATATAATAAGTTCTATACTTGTATTTGTTATTATTCGTTCATATTTCTTGTTCTTTAAATTCATAAAACAAACATAAGCCATAAGGTAAAGAAATAAAAAATGACCATGAAAAATAACCAGATAACTGGTAATGGCATTTAGCATATGTAATCAGTTGTGGTCACTTGTCACAGAATTTTGGAATATTTAATGCGAATCTTGAACTACTTACATTTTTACAGATGATTACGATTCATAATTGAATCTATAATATAATTATGGTTTGTAACTTTTTAAGTTATTATATGTCAACTGCATTTTAAATATTATACCAAAAGTATTAATATATAGAAACTATCATACTTACCATATTAAATAAGACAACTGCAAACAAATATGTGTGGTCATCCCGAAAATACGGGATGGATATGGTCTGTAGGCGGTGACCATTTCTAGGCAGGCGAATACGAATACGAACGTATGCATTGTGTGGTTCAGCCAAACAGGAAAATATAAGTCTATATCTTTAGGCATCACCAAACTTCGGTCGATAAACCATAAGCTCCAAAACGTTGTTGACACAAACTGAAATAATTTTAATAATTTTTAATTTGGCTAAATATATTCTATTATGAATAACATAATATATATATATTTTTATTCAACAATAATGTGATTCAATAAGAATTCACAGCCCCCGTTTTCATCTTTAAGCTTTACATTAAAGCTGTATTTTTAAATTGATACCTACTTAGATTTTTACGGCAGATGGCTTTTTATTTTAAATGTTGGTGTAGCTCTGAGTTATAAAATATTTATACCTACAACTGTATTAACTTTATTTAAGGATAATATGAATAATACACGATGGCGGAAACTCGAAAAATGTCTCAGTTTATAATAAGGTCTAAGAAGTTCTTTAGGTTCTTATTCAGAACCAAAAGTGTGCTTATGTCAAATACAATTTTAGATTCTAGGCGGATCGATGAATGTGTTGATTTTACAATGATTCGAGTTTTTTATTTATTTGTTTTATGCCCGTATTCACGATTCTAAGCAGAAAAAAATATTCCATCTTCAACTTTAAGATGGTATTTATTTAAAAATGTAATCATATTTGTACTTAGGAAAATATTCCATGCACAGGATTTCTTCGTAGAAGAGGTTACGAAGAAAAATGTACAAAATAAATACATCAATTATTGGTTAAATAGCAAAACCAATAAGTGTTAATAACTAAGATGTAAAAAAGTTTTTAAGGACCCCAACCCCTTTGCGCACGAGCATGGCTTGAGCAACTATATTAATAATAGGAATGCAAATTACTGATAATAGAAGTATAAATAAATTATAAGATTTACATAGAAATAACTGAATCTACTCAGAATCGTTTTTCGTATGTAAATATGTAATGATCTACATCATTGAATTCAAGTATAATACATCTATTACATTGACTGAGATAGAATGAATTTCCCGGTGTTTTTCTTAGCTATATATAATTTAATGAGATCAACGTCCAACTATACAGTGTGTATACTATTTGTAGTATTGTGTTATGTATTACTCGAAAGTTTTTAGACGAAACCTTATTTATAATCAGTTATTTTACTTAAATGTGTTGTTCTATTTACTATTATACATATTATCAGGTAGGTATTGATAATACAATAATTATACATTTTTGACAATATAATAAATATTAAAGTAATTTTAAATTTGAATTGTTTCATGTTTGGACTTTTCCCTTTTAAAATTAATAAATGTATTTATGTTTAAAGCTTCGGGAAAATTAAGTGCAGTGTAGAAACATCTTAAGATTTAAAATTGATAATCCTTTAGACAACCGAACAATTATTAAAATCTAATCTTGATTTTTTTTTTTGAAATGATTTATATTTGTAAACATCACTGAGGATTGGCAGAATCACAAAATAAAACAGTGACTATAGTTTATCTGATGTTATCCTCGATTTATTTTTAAACATATGTCTACCCGATATAAATAACTGTTCAATGCTTCAACTTAGGTTTCAAACATTACGACAAATTCAGTGGAGCCAATTTTGCATCCGTTCTATTTATTTTTGAAAAGTATGTTTCAACAATATGTCATACTTAGGATATTTGCCAAATACTGTTACAATAATAAGGAAGAAAACACTTCCAAAAATTATTATTTATAATCTTAATACTTTTCTATACTTTAACGAGTAGAATGAGTAGATGTAATTGCTTTATTTGAATTTTAACCGAAACAAATATTGTATTTTATTAAATAGTTATTATTGATATTTTGTTTAAAAAGTCACGGTCAATAACCACAACCAATACCACAGAACAAATAAATATACATAGTTAATGTATCCGAAATCTGAATGAAATGTTCATGGATTAAATTTAATATAAATATTTACTATTTAGACATTTAATGCATGAATATGTGTATAAATGTTAAAACTTCCAAGTCCTTATAATTTTAATTATTATAGTTATTACTGATTTAGTGCAATGACACAATTTCAATTTCATTAACATAAACGGAGCATGGATAAAATATATGATGCCTACGTATATAAATGTATAAGATATTAATATATTATAGGTACTTTAAGCATCTGACTAACTGGTACTCAATCAATAATTTGACAATTTGTATGATGTATGATAACCAAGGTAAAACGATTTTTTCTTATTTTTCTTTATATTATTTTGAAGGACAAAGATGACTAATAAATGTTAATCAATAAATTATTAACCATAACCCAAATAGTCATGAATACACTAACATATTTTAAACATTAATACTATGAAGTTATTGAATGTCATGGTTCAATTTCGAGGATTCTTACATTTAAATTTTACTATTATTTATATGTGAATTAAAATGATACGTACTTGAGTATTTCTACCTTTTTCTTGTATCAGTTATAATTTGTTTAAATTGGTATCTACAATTATTATATTATTGAGTATACTAAACTATGTATAAATATAGTATTTTAAAGAATACTTTTATTTCATAATCGGAATTCGTATTCAAATACTAGAAAAAGTATTCAAATACTATTAGAATCTATTTCCCCCCCTCGAATATTTGACAATTTTGGAATGGTTGGAAATTGATGTGAGCCAATCATATTACATTCAAAGAGAAAAACATTGCTAATAACTTATTATGTGCCCGACTTTTTATAAAAAAATTTGTTTTGTCACAAATATAAACTATTTTTCGAGTTAAAAAGAAGCATTCTTTAATAAATAAAAAAATACAAAAAAAAATTATTCAGAATACTTATTGGAATAATTTCTTCAAAAAGTGTTTTAAAATAGTATTCGAATAATAATAAAAAAAAGTATTTGAATTGATTTAATTAAATACTTACTTTACAAAACGAATTATATCGTTATACATACTCAATGCTTATAAATGTGTATTTTAGAAGGTTGTTAGTACTTTTGTACTATACAGTATATACGCTATCGGATATAAATACTAGATACTATGGACACAACAATAAATTAATATTTATTCAAACGCATTTTGTTGTATATAGTGTGTAGAACTAGGTCATTTTGAACAGCATATATATGATGAAAAAAGTTTTGATACCTCATGTCATGTTACTCGTATAAAGTAAATATCTTCAAACTTGAAGTTTAAGTCATAAAAAATCTATAGATCTACGTAATAATTATTACTACAAGTATCAATAATTAAGATTCAATCAAACATAATTGGGAGACTTGGTCTATTGTATATAGTATGTGTCAAATGTAGGTACATCGTCACTAGGTTTAGGTCACTCTAATGTTAGATTTGAATTCAACGATGATTCATTGCTTACAAAAAACTATACTAAGCGAAGACTGTCTGATAGCCTATACATTTCTAAGGATATTTCACCTTATTATATTGTAAACCTCAATAATAAACTTTGTAGGAGGTAATAAAATAAAGTTTACGATAGGTTAGGTACTAGACACTAGTAGGTATGATAATAATACCCATAAACGTTTACGATAGGTTATGTACTTGTTGGTAATATTATAATACCTATACATGTTTTTAAGGTTTATTACTAAAGGTAATATTAATAATAGTATTAATTAAAATAATCGAAAACCATAATTTTATCCTTAGCTGGTAAAACATGCGGGACTCTTATTTAAAATAAATAAAATAAAATATAAGCTTAAGCTTTTAAAACTTTGCTTATATAACATTAATTTTTTTAAATAAATTTAATCAAACTTGTTAAATAACTTATTTTTCATAAGAACACGCTCGTCTTAACGATTTTTTTTAGCTATGTACCAACAGATTTTGTTAGATAATATATAAACATCTATTCAAGTTATTAATGAGTCTTTTCACATGCTTTTTAGTACAGTTTTTTATATTGGACACAATTTAATGTAAATTTGTAAACCATTTTATTAGAAAAATAAACACCGAAATTAATTAAAATGGATAAATTCTTGAACAGTCCGCAAATAGTATATGATAAAGTTTCCTCTACATTATTGGTTTTCAACCGGTGTATCCCGAGTCTCGACCCCATTTTGGGTCACTTGAGCTTTACAATTAGGTCGCAGTATACTTTTAATTACCTACTTAAAAAGCTTACATAGAAAAAATATATTGTATTCAATTTTACAAAGCAAATAAGAGTGGCATAACTAAATCAATCAAAAATGTGTCCTTTTTTTACATATATAACAGTATTTATCAAATAACTTTTTCTTGACATGTGGCTCACTAAAAATGAGTAAAAGCTAAAACGGGTTTTAGCCCGATAAGGTTGAAGATCACTGCTCTAAATAGAACGTACATGTTTAGGATGAACTGAGGTATTTTAAATAAGAACGGAAAGAGAGAAAAGGTATACAAGTATGAGTAATAATTAGTGAAAACAACATTTATATTCAAATTGCGGGTATGTTTAGTATGCACCTAATGAAATTACCAAATAATATGTGTAATATGTACTAATTGTCCTAAAATATTTCTATAACAAATATATATTAACTATAATAACTATAAATCTGAACTCTAAAAATATTAAGATTAGATTCAAAAGTTGTACTTACCATACTTAATGGAAAAGCAATGCTGGCGAAGAAAAAGTGTTTTACTTGAGATAGTGTTTCCAAGACCGACGATTTAGAAGGGAAAATCAACGGGAAAACGTCCACAACCAATGCATATAGGAAGAACAATGCTTGAAAACACTATAAAAATAAAATAAATATACAAATTAATATAAACTTATTACATTAAACGTATAATTTATGTAACTATATGAAATTCGAAACGAGTAGTTCACAAAAAAATTAGATTAAATTAAAATTAAAAATACATAATATAGGTATAGGTACATTATAATTCATAAAATTATAATATAGTTTATTGATATTATAGGTATAGCTAGTAGCTACATTAACACATAACACATAAACAAATAGATATAAGATATAAATGTAATAGGCAGATAAGAGCAAGATTTTTGTTTTATTACATGTGCACACGGTTAAAAATATATTTCTATTGAAATCCTGATACGATTTTCAAATTTGAGATAATAGCGAATAATGTATTGATTTCACAATGTTATTTTTTAATATTTTATTTAATACTTTGAATGTAGGAGTGCTAAAATAATTTCACTTATTTAACCTTTATGAGGTGGAAATCGAATGGTACCTTGAAGAGGCATTTTCAGATTATATATTTTATTCTTCTAGTTTTTAGCATCTATCAACCATTGAGACCATCCCAACGCATATACAATCCTCCAATTTTTCCTATTATTTGCTATAGTGTTTTCGGGCAATCAGGTCCTCCATTTAGTGACTCTACGTCTTTTTTAATTATATAATCCAATCTCAAACGGGGTCTCCCAATTGGCTTTTTCCTTACTGAATTATTTTCCATAATAACATTTAATTTATCATACCTACAATCTACTGCTGACAACTGTAAAGCGATTTCTAAGAAATGTCTGCAAGTGTGGTTTTTATCAACTTTCACTCCTGGTGTTTGCTTTGGAGATGGGTGATAATTTGTTACATAAGTAGGCTTAACTAGGATCCCTCATAAGTTTGGTATACTGATGCCATGGGTATATTAAATTTTAGACTTTTGCAGCAAACTTCATGCATATTACAATTTTAATTCTTGGTTACATGTGACGTATATATTATTATATTATATAAATAATGTATAGCACCGTAGTCAAAACTAGGTATACTGAAACATAAAACTATGAAAGTATAATATTATTTACTTTACTTGTACATACAACAATGAAAGCTGAGTTTCTGATTAATTCAACGTTTAGACAAGACTTACCCTTTATATATTAAAAGTTTTGCCACATCGTATTCTATTATATTTAATGGTAAACACTAAACAGTAATAGTAGTATTAATAAAAGTGAAGTTCTGGTCTATTATTATTATTTATAAATTTTCTTAAATATGAACCAACTTATGTAAACGTATTATAAATTCAATATTTAACCAGGTGAAATTGAAATGCAAGTATACAATATTATATCACAAACAAAATAATAAGTCATATACAATTGATTTATCGATGGTTAAGAAAAACACATAATATGTAGGTACATACAATGTTGGTATTCTTTATTATTACTTTTGTAAACATGTATTTATATAGTAGCAGGTATAGCTGTGTAGTATTGCAGTATGCAGTATTCATACATAAGATATATGCACCTATACTAGATTACCTACAATTTACAAACTATTTTGTATTTTTGTTCTATAAATAAAAAAACACGGTTATACTGTAACGAAACAAATTACTTCAACACAGTGGTATACAAATAATTTGTATATAGTATACATATAATCTGTTTATTATACGTACAATATATCTTATACAGCTATACACTATAGTAATATGTACATATATTTTTTTTCTAATGTTATTTTGTAATTCTATTATTTCATTACTGTAACTGCCTTATTTGTTTGTCAGCGTACGCGCATGTGTGTGTGTGTGTGTGAGTGTGTGTTAATAGGTTCACCGCAATTATATTGACCAACTAAAAAAAAATTGTTTAAACCTATTCCAAAATAAGACGACAAATTATAATTCCACTTTTCAATAACAATTTAAAAACACCATGCACATTTGGAATCAATTTCAAAATATAGTTTAATTAGCAAGCACCTATACTTACGACTAAAATCCTAATGGCTAATGCGAACACACTTTAAAAATAACAACATTGATTAACGGTAGTAATATGTATACTTATATTTGTATCTATAGTCTATACCGTTGTCTGTTTTCAAAATTTAAAAAAGCATATTTTATTTCAACTATGTAGGTTTGTGTTTAATACTAATATACAATTATATTGTTTATATATCGTGAGCGTGTCCTTGGACGTTTTTTAATTCGTAATAAAATAATTCGCCTTTCATCGCCTACTCAAAACGTATACAATATTATACTATATAAATAGGTGTAAGAACTGACAAAATTAAAAATACCATGCAGTTTAGATGAATAGAGTATAATTTAACTCAGTTATTACATTTTATTAATTATTATTTATTAATAAATAATGATTATATATAATAACCATACGCATGAATAATAGCTGGTAGGCAATGTTATGAAAAATATTAAATAGATACCTAATACATTTGAGACATAAATAAAATATAGATATCACTTTAGCAGTATAAAAAAATAAATAAATAACAATACAATTGAATGCAATATTATTATATTATATATCTAATGCACTAGTTAAACAAAATTATTCCAATTAGGTATATACGAGCGTGGTAGTACATTTAAAATATAAGAAAAAATACATACATTTTTAACTTTAACAAGTCCATATTTTATCAATAGAATTAGACTTTATAATTAAAAATCGATTTTAATGATTGCACGCTTATGCCATTATATAGGTACTTACATACTTTTAATAATTTTATTTGCAGGTATATAGTATACGGTATGCGATCGGTAAGCAAAACTATAATATTCATTGAATTAGTAGGTATAATAAATAATAATGGAGGTACATGTATGATAATATAATGTACAAACATACATATTATTATAATGCAACAAGTAACAACTGACAACATGGTATGTCAAAGTGTATATAAATTTTCGTCCGAAAAGTTACACGTATGCACTATGCAGGTCGTGTATAATATATGTATTAATGTTATACCTACTCTTACTATTGTTTCATTGTATGGCCCATGAATATTTAAAAAAATAATACCTAACTTTTTTTTCTTCATTACTTTTTATTTAAAAGAAAAACCAAACAATACATCTAACTTTTAAGTCTGGTTCTCTTGTTTGAAATAAATTCTTGGTGAATCGAGAATCGGAGTTAAATAATATATTATGAGTATAGGATAATTATACTTTCACTATATTATAGTCGTCTTACTCGTTTTTGCGTTATGGCAGTTCTAATAATTATAAAAGATAAGACTATTACGTATACGCAGAGAGTGAAAATAAAAATATGTTTTTAAAAAGTAAAATCATCATATAATATGTTATAACTAGGGCTAAGGACTTATAGGAGTTTGTATGTTTTCCAAGATTCAAAGTAATTATTAGTATGGATCTTGTTTTTCTTGTCTGTGAGACCATTTATAAATGAAAATATGAACCATTGATTTTATCAATTTTAACTACTATTACATAACAACCAATAATAACTATAAATTTGGGTAATAATTAACATTTATTAAATTAACTATAGAAAAATAATTAGGTAATTAGTAAATGGAATTTTTTTTGCAGACAAGCTTAAAAAACGGGAAATAAATCTGAATATATAAATAATAAATATAGATTAACATATATTTGATGAAAGTATTACATTTTTATGCAACATACATGTATGTATATTTTTTACAACTCAAATGAATAATATTATTTTTATAGTAATAGTATAACTGAATTAAGTTTATCCAAGAAATTTATATGAATAGTATGATTTGTATGTATACTAATAATTTTCAAATATACGACTTCGATAACCCATTACTAATTGGATTTGGATTAATGGATTCTGGATGCATAACCCATGAACAATAAAACCATAGATAAAGCACAACTTATAACCATAGATAATTTATTATATTAAACTAATTTAGTACATATGATGTATAATTTGCGTATATTAACTTGGCTCTAACCTAATGGATAAAGGGTTTGTTGCAAAATACAATAGTATACTGTCTAGTCAGTTTGAACACCGTATAATGTTCAACAATTTACATATCGTAAAACACGTGTTGGACCTTGTAATAGATTATTATAAACCGTAAAAATATCTAAGTCTATACTGATTGATTCGCTCAAGTGTGGTACATTTGATATGTATTATAAGTTATAAACTAATAATCAACAATTCTGCACATTATTATGTATTGAAACTTAAAACTTTAGATAGGTATATGTTGTGCACGGTTTATGCCATTTCCCTTAATAGCAACACCCGATTTTACGGTTCATGATCACATAGGTACTTCCAATAAACATAGTTGATTAATTTTTAATATAAAATCAATAGTAGTATACAGTACCTATGCATAAAACTATAACATATATTATACGACGTAACATTATGTTTACCGTAGATTTTATAATTTCAGTGTAAATTCACATATATAATTATATATTCCATTAATACTATGTACAATGGATATCTTAATTTTAAAATTAAGTTTTCAATTGTTGTAGTACCTATAATATTTATTGTTTGTGCATAAGATACATTAATTATAATTTAAAGTATCCAACACGCAATTACATTAATACGCTTTAAGATAACCCCTCTCTTTATTATCTATATGCGTATACATTTATAATATATGGATACATAAATAATAGGCAGTATAAATACAAGTAATTTTCGTACATGTTCCATTTTTATTTCAATTTTTTTTAAACAATTCAACCACCAATGACCTTACCAACTTAGGCAAAATTGTATATCATGGATTTCCTCACGCCATTGTGTTAATACTCGTATAATAATATTTATTAACTATTTATACATTTTATATTACAATACTTTTACTATTATACTCATAATATTGTTTGCAATATTTTAAAATTTTAATAGATTACCTAATATAAATTATTTAATCTACAACTTTTATTTTGTATCGTTATTGTTTTTTGATTTTTACTTTATTTAAGTATCTACCAGGTAGATTCTACCTATAGAACTTTCATTAGTTTCTGATCATTAAAATAAGTCAAAAAGTATGTAACTAAATAAGAAGTAATAATAAAATAACTCAAATAAGCGAAGTATATTAGACTAAGTTCAAGTAGGTGCAAAGTGTTAGATTATGCTAATGCAGGAGAGTTAAAATTTTAAACCAGTGATAATATAGGTAATTAGGGTACATAAACAGGTACATTTAAAAAAATGTTTTTTGTGCATTTCGTTCTATCTGGAATTTGTAAAGATATCTTTAAAACAGCTTTGTTTGCTTTTACGCATTTTTTCCGATTTTTACTTTATACATTTATGAAGTTTTCCTATGACCAGTGAGAAATAGTGAGTAAACTACTATTATAGGTATCTGGTATACAATATGAAATGTACATATAATGTTATCTATTCTAATACCTATATTATATTATCTTAAAAGCGTAATAGTACAATACAAATACTACAGAATTTATACAGATGGATACTTAGAAGTCAATAGAAATATTTAATTGCATACCTACCTAAGAAATAAAATACAGAAGTCTAACAACATTTCGCAAAATGAGGTACTATTTACTATTTTGGTATCTCAACCACTCAACTAATCTATTCTATATGAGTATATGACTATATACTGCAGCATATTTTGTACAAAATATTTATACAAATCAGAATAACGATAAATTATCGTCACAACTCATAATATCTAGGATGTGACACCCTCTCTAAATTAAAACTTATTTTTTATGTCATCAGTAGTTAGTCATTTGTATAAATTCATTGATTATAAATTCCATACATATATTATATTGTATATTTATATAATAATATATACAGAGTGATTATTTTAACAGTAAACATTGATTAACTAAAAAAGTACCTACTAACATTTTTCACAAAATCATGTGAAATGGACCATTAGCTTACTATTTATTATTTAAATAAGAGTGATTGTATATGCATTTTAGTGTAATAATATTAACCGATGAGTTATTTCTTATTTTGATCCCAAGCGATATTTTAACATTTTTATTTAAGTCTATCTAGTTTTTGATGAAAAAAATTAAGATGCAATGACCTGGTGATTGACTTTCGACTTTGATTTTAAAAAGTGGACAGTACATTTTAGAAATATTTGTTATTGTTTTCTCTGACAACCCGTATCTCAGCGTTGATAAGTATATCGGAATTTTGACATTAAATATGTAGTAAGTAAACAATATGGCATGTAATATGATTTGAAAATGGGCTACAAAAATGTTGGCACCAACAATAAATGATGTGCCTACTCTTATTGTTGCACAATAAATTCGAGTTTAAGACTAGGTAATGAAACATTTTCGAAAATTCAAAATTATTTTGTTAGGTATTGTTTACGATTTATTTTACATGCAAAATTGTGCACAATATAGTACATTAGTACATACACGACCAATAGAATCAGTGGCGGTTCCAGGGGGGGGCTTAGGGGCCGCGGCCAACTTGTAATCCCGTATTTTTTAAAAAATTGTGCATTTTTAAAAACAAAATTACAAAAAAAACAGAATTATTTATGCATCAGGAAGGGGGATGTAAGGGTTTATGACTTACAAATAGGTATGTTTAAGACTTTAAAATTCGATTACTTACTCCGTCCAAAAACGTGAGGTATTTAAATTTTCCACCGAATGCGTCGTCGATGGGATTCACATGCGTGGGTATGTTGACGTGAACGTAGTTATAGTAGACGGAGAAGACGAACGTGATGGTGCCGAGCACGTGCACGGCGATATTAGCCACCGTTAAATACGACGTCAGAGCCATGGCGGTTAAATGTATATTAGGGTTATACAAAAAATACCGGAGACGTGCGTAAAGCGTAATAAATGTATCTAATACGATTTAATTTCGTCCGTCCGTATAGATGTCGATAATAATAAATAATATTATACGAACCGTACGAAATGCACTCGCGCACGCAACACGGTAAGTATTAAAATGTGGGCTACGGCGACGTGTAGGCAATGTCAATCGGAATATTATGCGATCGAAATTTAATTTGCCGACAGACTGCAAATATTGTTATTGCAGCGCAGGATCGGAACGAGACGATCGCACCAGACGGACGGGCGAATGATCACTAAACAGCAAATGACCGTCGCAACTCGCAAACGCCTTCAAATATGAAATAACAGTCGTTGGCGAGCGTGCGTTGCGCTGCGCGCGCTTGTGTTTGTGTCACGCGCGGATGTGTGTGTGTGTGTGTGTGTGTGTGTATGTGTGCGTTCGTCGCGTGTGTTTGCGCGAGTGTGTGTGTGTGTGTTTGTGTGTGCGTGCGCCGTGTGTGGATCAGCCGTCACAATCGTCTCTGGCGCCGCATTGTCCGAGAGGGTAGTGAACGAGCGAGTGGCCGCGCACGCGCGCCGCGAGCGGAAGGGCACGTCTCGGCACGGCGACAACAAATCCCGTCCGAACGTCTGCTGTCGATCGTCTCTTTAGTCTAAAAGTCTTTACGTCCATTGACCGTTATGGCGTTATATTAAAATAACATATTTATAAATCATCATCTTATTATTGTAAAAGTATAGTTAGTATAATATAAATTGTGAATTATAAACTATAAGAATACTACTAGTGCTATAAATTATAAATAAAGTAAAATTGTAATGCCGTAAAAAATCATAAATCGTAATTTAATTATTGTATGTGTGTATTGGAATATCTGCAGGTTAAAAATAAAATAATTAACAATAACAATTATAATTGTCCAATTATTTTGATTTACTTGTTAATTATAATACATTAATTATATATTAATAAGATTATTAAGATTTGAATATCTGATTTGTCTTCGGCTGAACATGGACGCAAAATGTAGTTACAATCAAATTTCCACCTTTTTAACATCTTTGGTTTCTTTGGAATTAATTTCTCAAATGTCAGCTAATGCCATTTTCTCCTCTGTTCTTTCCTAACCCAACTGGAGTCAACTGTCAATACTCAATACCTAGTTAATTGTCATATATTTTGTATGCTCTACTGTAGAAAGATTTGTAAGCCCAACTTATTATACAAATAAAATAACAAGTACAGTGAAAAATATTGTTTTATTCATATAATAAGGGACTTTTTTTTCTAGTGTTTTTTTTACAGTGGACTTCTTCACCTAGACTTTTTCCGATACCATGGTGTGCCTGCAAAAATACCTATGTGTGGTATACATTGAAGGCACAATATAATGTCCCTTTTCATCAGTAGCGTATTTAGGCCGTGGCCATCGGGGCAACCAAGGTATGTCCAAGTTGGGGGGACCTTTATCATTAGGTACATTAAATAAAGTACTGAACACTTTTTTTTCATTTATTTGTTAAAAAAATAATTTGATTTGAAATACGAAAAAAAAAAATGTAGAGTGTTGGTGTTTATTATCTAATTAAATACGTCATTGGTTTTTGTAACAGACAACTATATAGCTGTACAAATAAATTATCATAACTTGTACGCAGTAATTGCAGCACTCAGCGTCTCAGCTATTCTAAGAATATTATTTCTAAGGAGGCAACTATCATATTGTACGCTTCTCGGTTTTATAACCTATAGATACAATTTGGGATTTGTAAGTCGTACGTCATCTTCTTACAATCCTTATAATTATTATTAGTTCCTACTGTTCCTAGAATCACTATTTAAGGTCGAAATAGATGATCGGATTTTTCCAGGTGAACCGCGAACTGACCGGCCGACAAAAAACGTCACTGCCTGTTTTTTCCACTATCTAACTTTATATTCAACAAACAAAACTAGACATCAGACGCCGTACCGGCCGGCAAAACCCGGCCGTCTGTTTGGACTCTTAACAATCAATTTATTTATCATAATTGAATTTCTGTGTTAAAGAGGACCTCTATCTCTTATGGGCCTTAGGGCCACCGAGTTTTTCTCTATGCCACTGCTCTTCATTCAATAGACAATACACCAGCGTTCCTTAACGTGGGCAGTATCGCCCCCTATGTGGAATTCCAGTACAAAAGGGGAGGGAGGAAGGTTCGAAGGGGGGTTGGAGGGACGGCGAGCTCTCAAATGCGGAATAATGGAAAAAAATATATGAACACCAGCGTCCAGTGACATGTATTATCAAAACATTATTAATAATAATTATAATAATAATATATATTTAAGGACGTCTCATTTGCATTTACTATATACACACGTACAACATAGCATGTGTTTGAGTTCAGTATGGGATAAATGTTTGGGTTATTATCTTTAATATTAAGGTGAATTTATTTTATTAAAAATTAAAGGAACTTTGGTATTTACAATATTTTAATTTAAATTCTGTGTAGTAAGTTGGTAAATAAGTAAAGTAAATAGATATATAAAATAGTACAATTAGACTATATAATACATAATATACATAGTATCTAATATCTTTGATACTCTATGCTACCATAAGTACTAAGCATGCTTGATGAATCACTCTAGTAGGTACCTACCATATTTATAAGAATTAATAAAAAATTAAAACTAAACACTTCATTTGCAAATTGCAATAGTTGGTACCTGCTATATTTTTTTAATATGAAAATATATATATTCATTTTATATCATGAAATATGTTAGAATCTTATAAGTCGATAATTTATCAATCTCAAATTTTGTTAACCCTTGTTAAAAACTAAACGTAAAAAACTAAAAAAAATTATAATTAGGGTCCATTCATTAAAAGTGACACTGCCAGGGACGCCCGGAAGGGGGGCCAGTGGGGGCCATTGCCCCCAATGAGATTTTTTGTGTCAGTTACAAAATTAGAAGTTTTTTTACATAAAGCTGGTCTAAGGTATTTAGCGACTATGCGACAATCCTTGTATCTAACAAGTCATATAAAAGCAGCCTGTCGTCGACGGAAATAGAAACCTTTTGACAGACATTATTATTATTACATTTATCGTATTCTGGGTAATGTGTTCAGCTATCATGGGTAGAAATGTGCAATTACTATATATAAATCATTATCAAACGGTTAACGAAATATTGTGTTTTCCAAGTCCACGTATTGTTGAGTGTTGACTGTTGTTAGCGTTGTTGCCCTACAATTTACAAATTAATCAATTTTTAAGTTAAAATAATAAAAAAATTCGTTAAGAAGTGCAAATATGGATTCAGTTCCTAAAGAAGAAAATGAGGACACTTGACTCCTATTTTTCAAATGATAAAACAAAAAAAGTAAGCTCTTATATTGGATTATTTATATTTAATTTCTTGCTAATATTTTATTAAAATTACATTCTACCATCATAACAAATTTAATGTTTTTGGGAGTTAAATTAATTACTTTCATACTTAAAGTATGCATTTTTTCAGTTAATACAACTTACAAGAAATAAAGTTGTTTTTTGTTTAAATTGTATTATGTTTTTTCTTAGAAATATTATAAATAATAGTGTAATTACTGTAATTTTATATTTACTTAAATTAGTTTTGATTTTTAAAAAATTATAAACGATACTATTACTCAGTATGAGTAGATGAAAGTGTAGCGGTAAATCTTCCCATAAGTATTTACTATTTAGGTACTTGCAATTTTTTGCCCCCCCCCCCCCCGAGCTACATTGCTGCGGGCGTCCCTGCAGGACACTGGGTCTCCATTTTGACCATAGTTGTCCCACGACCCATAAGATTGAGACTTCCACTTAAATTTATTTATTTATTTACTATCATTTATGCTTGTACACTATTAAGTATTTTAGTTTGTATAGCAAAAATTCAAAATAATATCGTGGAAGAAAATAAGAAATTAATCTTATCGTGGATATTTTCCATCAGAAAAACAAAAACGGCGGCATTGAGGTTATACGTATACCATTATGTTATTACCCGTTTATAATTGTATATTATAATAAATAATAATTTATAATTTATAATACGACATTTTATATATTAAAATAAACATACGCTGGCAAGAACTAGCAAAAACCCGAGCAAAAACTGGTTTCAAATTTTGACGCATTTTGTTTTGCAAGTCTACAATGTTGATCAACAAGTTATATAAGGTGACGTGATTTAAAAAATTTATTGTATTCATTTCCGGATGTATTTAATTTATATACCAGATTTCCCTGCGTCATACACGTCTTGTAACATACCCACTTCTACTATAAACGTTTATAGGAACTATAATATATAATATTATAATATTTAATAATATCCTCCATCTCGATTATCGAATCTCGACAACGATGTAAACACAATCGTTGTGACGTTGTAACTTGTAATAAATCGTAGTAAGTAAACATATTTGTTATTCGATTTTAATAAGATACAAGCATAGACAAGCGCCAAGAGAGAATATGCAACAAGTAATAAGTATAACACTATAACCATTTTGTTTTCAAAACACTTAAACAAGTTTCGAAATAAAATCACGATGAACATTAAAGAACTAGGAAGACTTATCAATACACTGTCATTTTGGTCATATCATTCATAATTAATGTTTTAGTTTAAAAGTGATTCGGTAAATGGATGCATTTCGTGCATTTGTTGATGTAGCCATTGTAGCCATATAGGTATTTTTATAATTTAAAAAGTGGGCGAGTTCAAACTTCAAATAGCTCATAAGAAACGTACCTGCCTGTTAATATACCTTCAACGTTTTGATTACTATTATCATAATGTAATTCGAATTGTTTTATTATTAGACAGATTTAATATTATAATTTATAATAAATAGTACAACGATGGATCTATACAATTTATGTAAAAAATTAAAAACTATTATAATTAAAATTGAAACGGAACAGTTTTAACCCCTTATAGTTTTACGAGTTACCAGTTATCCGATTTTGTAATTTGAACTAATATTCTGATAATCTCAACATTCGTTTGAATCACTAGCCAGTAGCTACAGAGTAGGAGTGGCAAATTATTTTGACCCTACATGCCAAAAATTATATTTTTTTTTCGAGCATGCCTGTAGATATTAATATCTACATTGTGATGTTATTTTTTATTAAAAATAAAAATAATATTTGTAAATAATATAAATATTTTAATTTTTCGAGTGTCATCAAAAGTTTTTCGAAAATCAGATTTTGAACAATTGTATTACTAAGGAAAAACAGGAGTGAGTCGTGAACATGCTTGGTACATAACATATAATTTATAATATGAATACA